GTATCTTTCTTTTGTTTTTTCTCGAAAATTTGGAATGTAGTGCACTAATTCATAAAGTTTATCAAATGTGTTACACGTCTCCTTGCTGAAACAAATGATGTTAATACATAGTTCTTTTAATCCATCTGGTTTTCTAGGAAGCCGCTCAGTTTACCACTCGCTGCCTAAATATCTTCAATTTGTCGCATCTCAAAATTTCTTCAACCTTCTCCATAATTTTGAATTTGCTAAGTAGGTTTTTACTGAACTGGAACTGAAGTTTTCAAAGACTTACCAGAAACCTAATGCCGCTTTAACTCAGAAATTGTGTGAAACAAACGCAGTTCTGGAGAAGTACAAATTTTGAGTAGATAATCCAAAAACCTTTTTAATATTTTCCTTATGTTTCACAGCTGAAAATGTACGGTGCTAACAATTTATGCCTTGAGTAGTCTTTGCTTGAATGTTAAAAATTACTACTTATTTTGCTATAAGAAATTGTCCAGTAACTCTTCTTGTATGCACCAATAGTATATCATTGTAGATAAAAGCACCAATTTACTTTTTCTATTTTGGAATTATTATTTTCTAGCGCAAGTTTTTTTTTATTCAATGCAAAATTGCTATTCAGATCAGAATACCTTAAAACAACTTTAACCTTTGTTTTAGGCGCATGGTCATCAATGACTTAGAAATGAAAGTTTCACCATTAGATTTCATGCATTATCCATGACATAACACTTCTTACAACTCCCTCTCCCCCTCTCTTCAGCATGTATTTTGGCTCGCTTATTCGTAATTTAAAATTTTAGAACAACTCCCTCAGGCGGCAATAAAATAATTTCACGTTGGATACACTGAATTTAATATGTAGCAATAATTTCAAATAAGGACAGTAGGAAACAGTGCCCAATCAGAATCATCTGTAAGTCGATATGGATTGAAAAAATAAATAAATGAACCCTTTCTCAGTCTTTTGTGTATTTACCAGGTGAAAAAGCTGTTCTAAAATTTTGATTTTTTTTTAAAATTTTTTTGGTTTATGAGCATGAAAAGAAAGTGTGTTCCTGGGAGGTCTCATGTAGTAATGATCTGAAAATCTATTTGTGCAGCTTTCTTTCCAAAGTCATCCTTGACAAAAAATTCATGAACAGAGTACTTACCATTTTCTTTCATTACCTAAATCATGAAGACACAAAAGCCACTATTAGTTTCAAGTCAAAATTTATTCAAAACAGTGATATTGCAAGATCAAACTTGAACCCCCAATATTTAAAGTCTAATGTGAGTGTCGATTTTCCATGTATTATCAAAGAATAAAACATTTGTAACAAAATAAAATTGCATTAAAATAATGTGCGTGAACATTATTCTAAGAAACTGCTGTGTTTTCACAACTTGTTAAATGACTTTAAATTTTCCCTGCAGTGTATGGTTTTTTAGAAAATTCTGAATTTTATGCAACCTTGTAAGATAGGTAATCAAAGTAAGAACACCTTTTGCTATGAATTTCTGCATATCCTGTTACTTTTCATTCACTGTTCTCTTAAGGTATACTCACTAGACGTTACATATTAATTGTTCATGTGTCTGTCAAAAATTATTAACATTTTTTGTTTTATTTTCAAACTGTAAGAATAAATTAATTGAAAAAATCATCTCTCACTTGTCTCTGCCTATTGTTATTCATTAAATGTATACGTTGCATTGCTTCATGACGGAACTTGGTGTTTCTTTAGACTTTCTTTCAAAGCAGAGGCCCTTATTTAGAAAGAATTATTTGAGTAACTTAACACCTCATCATGATTAAGGATTGGGATCTCTTTTATCTGATTGTCAAGGCAAATTTCATTCCTACAGGTGGATGTTAAATAGCAAGAAAATATGAAAAATTTCTTTTTCAGAACTATTTGATCCCACGCAAGGCTTGAAATACAATGGTAATTAGTTTTTTTATTTTTCAAGGAGTTTTAGTCAGCGGGACTTGCATCAGTCTCTGGGTAAAAAAACAATCAAATTAAATATCAATGAATGTAAAATTAAGTTTGTCCCTTGAAAGGTCTGTCAGGGGTCAATCAGAGAATTACCTGCATAATATGGTCCAGCCAATGGCTCAGATTTCTCTTCAATATTTGAAATCCTCATTTCCTCTTTACCATGATTGTAATGTAAATCGTATAATGTGTGTGACTTTTCATTTTTGGTGTGATTCCAGAGCCTCACCCACTTCTTAGTAATCGTAGCATAGAAAAACAAGCATCTGGTGGAAAAAAATATCTGGGGAAACGCTTTACAAAATGATAGGCAATGGTCATGATCAAGACATCGCATCGATCCTATGAAAAAAAATAATAAAAGAAAATAAAAAATTGTACCTGAATGTTATCACAAGAGCATGGTTCACATCACGGATCATGATATACCTTTCTAGAGAGGTGTTATCAGCATAAGATCCATCAAATGGTTCAACCCAAAATGGCAAACGGAAATTTGATTTGAACTTGTCCTCTTAATTTCTTGCACCATCTGGAAACACAGGCCAAAAACAAGAACTTTTTGCTCTAGATGCACTTTTTCCTTTAGTCCCCATTATTTGGAGTTACGGGGAATTCTGGGACCTTTCTCGCGCAAATTTCAATTAGAGACTGTAGGTGTCAAAATTATCCGATTTTCAAAATCTAAAATTCCCCTAAGAGAAGAGATCAATACATTTTCGTTGATGTGCCACACGACTCCTGTTAACCCAAAATTATGAGGACCACGACCCCCCGCAAATTTTGGGGCTTTGGAGAAAAGAACCAATTTAAAATATCGTGATAGTAATAAAATGTGTTCAATTAATGTATATTTTCATATTCTGTTACAATAAATAATGTGTGCATAAGAAATTGTTATTAATCGCATTAGTCTGCTTGCGCGCAACTCGCGCGAGACGTCTCAATTCAAACTTCGCGCTACTCGAGGTCCCACTAGTACGTCATCAACATGGCGC